AAGAACATATCAATAAAATCTACACAAAATTCTCTATCTTTTAGCATCAGAACCAAACCTTCTGGTCGAGTCTAATTTGAGAAAAAAGCCTATCAAAAACCGGCAATTTCCTCTGCCGTACCCGTTACTATTTTATTATAAAAATAACACGACTTTTCGACTTACATCGTCAGACATCTTTAGCTGAAGAATAGCAGAAAAACACATGTTGTTTTCACTAACGTTGCATTGCTGTATGCCGTTATGTTTCAGATGTTTTTGTACAGGTTTATCACACTATCTTGTGAAATAATTGTTGATTTTCTTAAAAAGATTAAAATTGTTCTATCACCGCTCCTCAGTTCTAGCGGGAAAGTGTTTTTTTCTTCTATATTCACCTTCTCCAGTAGTTGAGAGCTATTATTCACCCCATCTGTCCTTTTTAAATTGTAAACCTTTGGCTAAAAATCGGCCCGAACTTTATCCTCACCAATGAACGAAGTATTGAGTAAGTAAAAATGTCTTAAACATTGAGGCTGGATTTCGAATTAAAGAAATCTTCTCTGATTCAGAGTGATATTATCATAGCAAGTTAATTAGAATATCGATCATATGGACGAAAAAAACTAGTATTTTCATGCTAGAAATGGAACATACTTTCTGTTTGCAATTGAACAACTCATTTATCCTTCTTAGAAATCTTTTACTGATGCATAAAAGAATTATATGTTGAATCATAAATTCAAAATATTAAATCTATAGATATATAAAAAATAATGTAACTGTACTAAAGTCTTCTTCTGTTGTTTTCTATAACAGCGAAAACGGGATGAAGATTAGAAGCGGAAAAAGCGAGCGTTTCACAAAACAATATGTGTTTAATAATACTAATAATAATAAATAACTGACAGTCTAAGCTTTTTGTTCCAGAGCAGCTGCACCTGATATAATTTCAATTAATTCAGTTGTAATTACAGATTGACGAGTACGATTGTAATATGTCGTTAGTTTATTAATTAATTCACCTATAAAAAATATAAAAAATCAAATAAGTGTATATTACGCACTTATTTGTTTATTCATTAAAAAAAACGTACCAGCATTTTTTGTTGCATTATCCATAGCTGTCATTCTTGAACTCTGTTCACTGGCTGCATTTTCTTTCATCGTATAATAGAGTACACTAGCTAAATTATACTCTTGAAATGATCGTAATACTTCAGAGTCTAAAGAATCATAAACACCGATATTTTTCGATCTATTTATTGTATCACCAGATAAAACCAACTGACGAGATGTTGTATAGGCAATGGCTGATCTAAAGAAGAAAAAAAACATGAACTCGCTCTTAAAAAACGTTATAATATGTACTTGAATTTATTATAAACAATTTCTGCTGTATCAAATTCAAAACCAGTACTTAAAACTGTTTGCGCAATTGCTGATGCATCACCAAATACGACAGAACGCTTTCCAATTTCATTGACAGATAGTAATAAATTGTTAGCATGAGTTCTAAAATGGAAACAACCACAAACATTAGACCTTCTCGTTTACAGATATCACCCTGTTATCTATCAAATAATAAAAGTTAACATAAAAAAAGCTCACTAATTCAAATCAAATAGTTTGTTTAACATTCTAAGTTAAATGTATCACTGGAAAGAGATTTATTTAACGGTTTTGAACTAACCAGAGGTACTTTTTTCAAAAGACTAATCTGTTTACTGGAATAAGAGTGAAGTTTCTCGAAAAAATGCCTATTCAAGGATCTTCTCTTCTTGTATTAATTATAGCTCGACGTTAAAAAAATAATCAAAAGCTCTCCATTTGTACTCACCTTGATAACATTGCTCTTGATTTATCACCAAGGGCAATAATTTTTGTTGCTTCTAAATTTGTTTTTGTATCATTTAATTGTGTTCGAATATTTTTAACAATTGATGAATTAGCTGCACCACACAGACCGCGATCGGATGTAGCAGCAATCAAAACATGTTTGTTGGTAGTTGTATCGGCTGTTTTATCTAATTCTATATTATCATAAAACGCTGCAAAGAGATAGTAACAATCTTGAATTAATCGTATCCAGTCATGTTAAATAAATACGCACATTTTGCGCCTAAACCATATGATCTAGCTGCTCGAAGTTCTCTTTCAGCTTTTGCATATTTAGCTGCTGAAACCATCTTCATTGATTTAGTTATCTTTTGAATACTTTTAACCGATTTAAGACGACGACTAACTAAACAAATAGACATATAACAAGTAAATAAGGCACAGGATAAAGTGAGACAAATTAACAAACAACATTTTATTTCATTCAACAACATTTTTTTAAGAGGAATTCAATTATATAAAAACTGTCATATTATGATAGAAGTAGATCAGTTTGCAACAATACAATGTGGCATATAGCTTTTGAACTATGTCCACTTTTCTATCTTAGGTGTAAAATTAAACAATACATACTGTCTTTTAATGTAGCCATATCTCTTGTGCTTCCACCATGCCTAAAAGGAAGAGATACAACCGTATTACAGATAAAAATAAGCAAAAAAGACAAATATATTAAATTACCACACGATTTGTTTCGGTTGAAGTAGCGTGAGTGCCTTTAATAATGACATTTCGATGCCAACTTCAATGAAAGATTCTTATCTAAAAAAATTAGTACTGAACACTTAAAATCTTACGATAGGATGAAGTAAAGAACTAGTGTAAGCATTCTTAGTTCATTTTATTTTATAAAATAATTACATCAAAAGAAAAGGATAAATAAAAAAAAAAACGAAATTATCAAAATGTTCACAATTTTCTCACTGTCGCCTGATGATGACCTAATAATAAGTTGAAAATCTTGCATCTGATTTTGTTTTATATTGACTCTGTTAGAATTTATAAAATAAAATGAAATAAAAATATTTACAGTCATTCTTTCCTTCCTCCTACTGCTCTATCTTCGGGTTTTAATACTAAAAATCTTTTGCATCTTTGAATGGTCACTTTTTTGGCAGAAGAAGCACACTTCAAGTATAACACTTGTATACCTTTAATATGGCACTATGGCAGTCAAGATAATTTAGGCGCAAAAACTAAGCGCTCTACAATCAACGCATTTTTTTTACAAATTACCATGTGTGAAGTAGTTCATTGAACTTTATCGAAAAAGAATGTTAATCCATGAACTTAGTATTCAACTTTTCATGCTGCCATGCTGTGAGATTTTGCACATTTTCTGAACTGACTGCTGGCCTGAAAGTTCCGCGATTTCTGATGATTAGCAGGAAACAAGTTATCGTGCAGACCATCATCACTATAAACTGTTACCTTCAATTGGCCCAAGACTAGAACTAATCAACTTTCAATTTTACGCCTCTAACAAAAGCCAAATCTGAAAATGTTTTACAAATAGATCCTCAAATTTCTCGAATTTGAACCCGACTTATTCTTTCCAATTCGACCGAAATAGGAAGATTAAAATTAGCTCAAAAGGCTTATGCATTTGCACGGGCTATTTGTTTACTATACTCAGTTTTTCTGCTACTTTTTAATGAGTTGGTAGCTGTTTTAAATTTCTTTATTTCAAGATGTCCGTAATTTCATGGTACAAGTTGCTAAGTACCCTCTAGTTGACACTCTTCAGAAAGTCCCTGGACATTTTTCATTCTTCAAAGAGTGGGAAAAGTAATTCGAGCTCCTCCAGGCGTCTCCGACAACTTTCATTCATCCCTGGGTATTGAACATTTAAAATCTTTAATGAACTACCAAAAATTAGCTCAACTCGTTACTGAGATAAAATTGTCACTTAAGTACTTACTTAAGTTGTGGAGCTATATAAAAATGTTGCTGAAATATCTTGATGTTTTTCTCCGTTGAGATCGTCATATTTGCTGTCTTGCATTTACACGTATCAGTTTTCGATAAGCCTCTTTGGGCAGATGTAAATTGTAGTTTCTTTGATATTAAAAATTTTTGATTTATTACACAAAGAAAATTTTTTCACTTTGTGAGACTTAATCTATTTTTTCTGTTTACTTTTAGAATGACAGCCGTTCTAGGACATTTCTTCCATAATATTGAACAAGAAGAAGAAATCCATGGGGATAATTCTAGTTTTATCAGTTTAGACCATAATGGAAATAAAGATGTTCGTTAAAATTATTTAATTATTTTCAAAAAATAGCTAGAAGATCAATTATTAGAGTGTTTGTTTGTTTTATGTTTAGTTTCGTCAAGAACGTAAAATATTTGTTGGCGGTTTACCAAGTACAGCTGGTGTCGAAGAATTAGCAAATTATTTTGCGGCGTATGGAGAGGTGATTAAAAGCTAATACTTAGAAATATACGAGAACTACACTTTTTTATATTCAGGTTGAAGAAGCATTTATTATCTATGATCGAAGTAGTGGCCGCCATCGAGGTAACTTTTGAATTTTTGTGTATTGTTAAAGCACATTTTGTTTCTCTCTGTTTCCCCATTGTGATTTGGATAATTAACGTTCTATATATAGATTCTTTTTCTTCAAGGATTTGGCTTTGTCACATTCAAAGACGTCTCGACAACAAAGTATGTCTGTGATGCACGTTTGTTTATTTTACATGGAAAAAAGGTAGAAATCAAGGTAGAAAATCAAAATTTGTCTTGCTCAACATTTTTCTGTATAATTTAGATTGAATGTAAACATGCATTGAAACGCGAAGATTTAACTTCATCTAGCAATAATGATCAAGTCAGATATTTTCGACCAGGTAGGATCCTTTTTCAGAGCTAAGAGTATATTATGAATAAGTTCTTTGTTCAAAAAGAAAGCTCGATAGAAAAAGTTCTTTTTATAAATTACTGAAAAACGTCTGTAGTACAGAGGTGGGTGTCTCGCATTTTTCTCTCTTAAATTAACCTTATGGTCTACTTATTTTTTCTAATTTTTTAGCAGAACAACATGTCGATACAACAGCAGGTGTCTTTCCATCATCGTCAACAACAACCGTTTATCCATTGAATGCTGCAACCACTATTGATCCAAATTTTCCTGTTGGCTTTTATGTTTATTCTCCTCCAATTGGAGCAGCTACTGCTTTTGCAACACCACCATGGGCATTCAGTCCGTTTCTTACCACGTCACATCAACCATTTCATCCTGCATTTAGTATGGTTTTCTATTATTGACGTTTTCAAAGATTAGTCAGCTTTTGAAATTGACATCGAGGCACTGACATGCTGTTTTGTTTTATTAATTCTAGTCTTTTTACTCATTTTAGGTCTCATTCAATTTCCTACCTTGGTTGAGTCATATCCTCTGCCTCCGCCTCACTCCCCGAACGACCAAGAACTAGTTGTAAGTTAGTTGAGTTTATTATTATATGTATTATTTTACTCGTAATATTTTCTGTTTTTTAGGAAAATCCAATGCAATATAATGCGGCAACAACTCTCTCTCCTTGTCAAACAACGACCGCTATCAGTATTGTATGACGACAACAACAAAATTTTATTTTTTCTTTGATAAAAAAAACGGACATTTTTATTTTTATCTATACGCAAAAACTCGGTGATTTTTCTTTCTGTGTTATCTGCTCAAACCTCTTAATTTCTTTTTGCTATTATTTAGTTTCGTTCTTTGTTTTGTTTTCTTGATCTTTACAGTGTGGTCAGATATATTCTTTTTGTCGCGGTTTTTTGAACAGTTTTTCTCTTTTGTTCAGTATATGTCGTATTTTGTTTACTCTGTCTCTCAGGTCAAAAAACCAAAACACATATTAGATCAGATACACTAATTGATTAATTGCTTTCTGTTTTTCTTTCTGTCTCGTTACCCGGTTTATGGTGTCACTTTATCGTATCTCTCTATGTGTTTATTTTTTGTTGTGTTTTTCTCATCAACGATGTGTGCCTTAAACTAAATTCAAATAATAAATTCTCTTATCGTACGATTGAAAAAATAGATGATCAAATAGACCAGCTTGTTGTTTTGAAGTTCAAATTGGTCAAAGAAGTGGATTTTAGTTGAGATTCTTGTTTATGACAAATGTAATATATTGGGATAAATAAAAGTCTAGCAAGTAAACATAAAATTGTTTATTGAGAAAATAAATGTTAGATTTTGAGTGAAACTAGGTAATTTCTTCCATTGTTGATATAACGTAATTTTTATGTTTATATTATAAACTTACAAATGTATGGTATATATGACATTACCAAAATATGTCAATTGCAACATCAGTATATCGTTGTTGTTAGTGTAGAGCTTAGATGTAAAATCTGTTTAAAAAATTCAAGTTTTTATTTTGTTTGTTTTGAATTCGTAAAAAAGAAAGCTTTTATCTCATTTTAGTGCTGAGATACGTTAACAAGCTGAAAAATTCACTACTTTACAATTATCTATAAGAAAAACTACTCTTTTCAAATAAATATTTCCAGCTACTCTTATAGTTTGTAGCGTAAAACTTGGACTTTTGTAATAATTACTTCAAAGATAGAGCTGCTCAACATAAACCATTGTGCAAACTTTAATGACAAAAATCTTCGTTTTTTTGTCTATTGAATTGAGATGTGTCTGTTACTGTGACCGTAACCATTTCAAAAAATTCTGATCACACTACGACATACTAGGAAAAAAGATAAAGAAATTTGTTTCAATTTTATCGGTGGAAATAGTCCAACTAGTTTTAATTATTAGTTTTCTGTTTTGCAGTAAAAAATGTCAGGTATAAATGGTATGAATGCACGGACAATAACTTTTTCTGGAAAAAAGTGGGCAACAGTCTTAAAAAAAGTTTTCTCGTGAACGTGGCTATTTCGAGAAAATTCCCGTGACTGTGGCTGTTACCATAACCAAAAAACTTTGGTCGCGCATATTTCTACTACTGAAATTGAATTTATCAGTGACATTTTGAGCTAGAGACTTGAAACTAAGTGCCAAAAGAGACAAATGTGAAAGTATAATCTTTCTCTTTTAAATGAAAACTGCTAATACAACAAAATGTTCACAAATGCCAGATTTAAGAACATAATACAAGATGTTAATAATACCAGTCCACACGTCTGTTACGAAAATCGAATCCATAGTGGCGAAAGTAAACTTAAATATCGGGTATTTTCGAATAGAAGGCTTCAGTCAAGTAAGAAAAATATTTTAAGTTGTTAAAACTTTTTCTACTACCTCACGGTTGAATACTACCAGAAGTAGTAAATGCCGACCTTATAAATAATTCTAATGTACATGGTATGCTTATCTAGTGGTAAACTTCGAATTAATACACAAGAATTACAAGCATACATTCGAGAGTGCATAATCTCGTTGAATATTAACATATCTTATCTATGATCTTATTTGGCACAGCGTTCAAATTTACCATAAACCATTTTTTAATACCAAGAAAAGAGCTTAATTGTTCAAAATGGAGTAATGCTGTTGACCGGAAAATGCTCTGTAAAAGCTTTTCTGACTGATTAACAATAATCTTTTCCTTCGCCTTTATGACTCAAAATTTTTCACTTGTATTAATGTTCAATCAAGACACAAATGAACTTCTCGCGCGATCATTCGTAGTTTTAGTTCTTTTCTGTCGCTGATTCGTATAGTCAGATATACCGACCGCTGACAGAATTGTCTCATAAAGTCACCAGAGTTGCCAGATGCTTACACTGTAATGTCGGGAATTATTTATAGAAAATGCTCGGCGATTTTCAAAAAGTCCATATATAAATTCCCTGAGGATTTTCTAGATTCTAGAAAATCGAATTTACAAGAAACTTGGAAATTTGACGTCGAATTTCCAGAATTCTGGAAAATCGAGGTCGAATTTCTATAAATAATTCCCAAGATTCTTGAAATTCGAGGTCGAATTTCCAGAATTCTGGAAAATCGAGGTCGAATTTCCAATTCGATTTTCTAGAATTATGGAAAATGCTCAGTGATTTTCAATCTGGAAATTCCTCGGCGATTTTATATATGGACTTTTGGAAATTCGAAAAATGAAATTAATTTCCAGTTATCTGG